ATTTAGCAGTTATTGATTTAGAACACACTTTTATTTATGCATCAAATAAGCCTAGCACTTTTAGTGGTTCTTTAGCACCGTAGGCTAGAACGGTTTTGTCTGAATATTTTGTGGATTAGAAACTATAACATTCTATTTTTTCATGTACTCCCATCCCAAGTTGTATCGTTTATTATATTAGATTTACTACTGGAATCTATGAACATTTTGATATTCACCCCTCCTACTTGACAGTCACAGTTCCATCATCATCAATGTGAAATATGTAGTCTATAGACGTAGGCTCTTTATTTTGGGTGTATCTTGTTTGTACTTTTTAACAATATTATTGTCATTTGACCGGAGATTAGTATTTTTCTTTTATTGGCCCTTGTTCTACAGTGCTTCTGAAAGTGACCTTTGAAGCCACACTTCAAATAATTAGTATTAATTGCAGGGCAGGAACTATTATTTTGTGGTTTTTACTACCACATCGGCTACAGCTTAGATCAATGTCTTTTTTCATGTAGCATTTGTTTGATTTAGTATCTATTTTATTGATACTGGAAGTAGTGTTTTGTCTATCGGGGAACTCATTTAATTGTCTAACTTTTTTACTGCAATGTCATAACCGTCAGTTTTGTCAGTTACATGAGCTCTAGGTATGTTAAAATATATATAAATATATATATATCTTGTAATGGCATGCCTCCGGCATGTAATAGAATTGCACGTTTTTTATTTTGATCATTTGAGTTTAAATTACAAAATAAATTTCTTATTTAATTAAATTACTTTTCTTATTTACTACAAAGTAAATTTCTTATTTAATTAATTAAATTTCTAATGCATGTTTCCATCTCTCCCAACGCGAGCCTAAAGAGGTTGGATCACCTTCACAATCGAATGGTTCTATTGTCAGGACTTGTGTTAGGGACATGTTGGATGATCTGCAAATGAGGTCAAAAGAAAACCTCTTTAGTATATTAATGTAGTGCAGAATTTCAAGTTTTTTAGTATTATATTATTATTTTTATATACCAGTCAGTATTAAGTGAATAACAGGTTTGTTTTTTTTTTTTTTTATTATTATAAATAAATAAATCACTATTGTTTACTTTAATCACTATGATAAACAATTAAAACTATGAAATTAATAATATGTTTTAAAAATTAAAGCTTAAAAATTATTTATATTTGAACTGTATAGTAATTAAATTAATTAATACTAATTAAATTGAATTATTTATTAATTGGATAATATTTTGATTGTAAATGTAATTTCATAGTTAATTTATAATAAATTAAGTTGTTACTAACATAGGTATAAGTAAAATGTGTACTGAAAAGAAAAAGATAGGTCAAAGATGCCTAAATAAATAAATTATTATTATTATTTAGTATGTTGTGTTATTATTATTATTTTTTTTTTCTTTTTGTGACAACAACAATTATTTTTAACTTGAAACCGTTATCTCATTATATTTAATTTCCACTTGGTTTTTAAAACAGTCAGTTAGTGTATAACAATAGACATATGTATAAAGAATATATTATTTATTCTTATAGGGTCTCATTTGATTGAATCAAACTCGATTAGCTTTTTGTTAAAGCAGGTACTTTATGAAATATATTCATTGGAACATTTAGTTATTTGATCGAATTTTATATATTCGATGGTACTTAATGAAATATATTCATGGAAACATTTAGTTATTTGATCGAATTTTATATATTTGATGGTACTGAATGAAATATATTCATGGAAACATTTAGTTATTTGATCGAATTTTATATATTCGATGGTACTTAATGAAATATATTCATGGAAACATTTAGTTATTTGATCGAATTTTATATATTCAATGGTACTTAATGAAATATATTCATGGAAACATTTAGTTATTTGATCGAATTTTATATATTCGATGGTACTTAATGAAATACATTCATGGAAACATTAGATTATTTTATCGAATTATATATTCGATGGTACTTAATGAAATATATTCATGGAAACATTTGATTATTTTATCGAATTATATATTCAATGGTACTTAATGAAATATATTCATGGAAACATTTGATTATTTTATCGAATTATATATTCGATGGTACTTAATGAAATATATTCATGGAAACATTAGATTATTTTATCGAATTATATATTCGATGGTACTTTATGAAATATATTCATGGAAACATTTGATTATTTTATCGAATTATATATTCGGTGGTACTTAATGAAATATATTCATGGGAACATTTGGTTATTTCATCAAATTATATATTTGATGGTACTTAATGAAATATATTCATTGGAACATTTGGTTACTTGATCGAATTGTATATTCGATAGGTATTGGTAAATAGAATTGGTCAACGATACATATAGGTTGTAGTAATTTCAGTTAAGTATTTTCAAACAACGCATTTGCTAGTGTATTATTACTACGGTTCTTTTGAATGTAAATAATATTAAAAAAAAATAGATTCAAACAGTAAATACTCAGGGAGCATTATTTAATAATGTTTACATTTCAATTAGAGGAAATCATATTACGCATACTTATTTTGTTTATACGACTTTGACGTATTTTCAACAAATGGGTATATCGGTAATTAACATATAATAACTTATTCATGCATCTACGCAGCATAAAAATCAAACCATATGTAAATATGTAATTTTTCATTGCGTTGTTTTAAAATCCTTTTTGTTCCTTTTTCAAAACTTTGTGAAATTTTAAACTTTTGTTGGCCGAAATTCTATTTACAGGTATATAATTTACTTACTGCGCTTTTTACTCGTCGCCAATGTGATGTTCTGTATTTATATCTCAGAATTATAAATAAAACCACCAAATTATCAGTAAGTAAATACACAACTCAAGAGAACGTTCTCCCGCCTCCGATGACAGATCGAAGTGCTAGTGACGCGCCACAGTTGATATGTGTACTATATTTTATTAAATGTCACACCAACAATAATTGAAATTTAAAAGTTTGTGAGGATGGATGTATCGATGTTTCTTTCTCACACTTGCAAAAATCACTCAAGTGATTTTAATCCAATTTTAATAATTTAGTTCGTTACATTAAGGCTATAATTTATCCCGGAATTCCGTGTATTTCTGACTGTAAGAATGCGTAACAATTTCATTGTGTATGAAGTCACGTGACATACAGTATAGATGTCGCTTATTTTTGGTTAACATAATATCTATTTAGAATCTAATTCTGAATTCCAGCAATGAGCAAAAGAAGTCGAAGGCCAAAACTAGTATAAAAAGAAATATAAAATAATTAATAACCAAAAATCTAATATTGACAACGAAATCCTCGAAAAGTTTAATTGATTAGAATAAATCTAGAATGTTCTTATTTACAAATAACGCTAATTGAAAACGATACAAACTTCAGAAACGAGACTAAAAGTGTTTTATTTTATTTCGACAATAAAAATACTGTAAGATAAAAATGTATACACTCAGTAAGTTATCGAAGCAATTGTGTAAATTAAGTGTCAATGGCTAGGAACGATACTGTCGTTTTCACTTCAGCAGGAAAATATACTAAAATTCTGCCAAGTAATGTTATAATAGCACGCACGTAGTCTCTTTTATTGCATTTTTATGTAAAAGCATTTAGATTTGACAAAATACCGTTTTATTTCAGAAAGTGTCATGTGACTAAAATGCGTCCAAGAAGTTCAACTATTCACTACTAGATGGCAGTGACAATAATATTTTTATATAGCCGCCGTTTAAGTGTTTTCTGTTATATTACAAATTAATTACCGCCATCACTAGCGGTTTTTAATGTACATTTTAATTTGATCACTGCTTTTGTAACTCCGGTTATGTTAAAATTTTTAGTTAATAAATTACGGATGTTTGCAAATTAGGTTTTCGTTTAGTGTTTGTTTTTGGAATATTGATTTTCATGAATTGGAACATAAAATATTCAAACTGGAGATACGTTTTGAGATAGTTTAATATGAATTCGATCTATCTACAACAGCTACAATTCAAACCCGTTATAATAAAAATAATTTTAATTATTCTAGCCATAGACTTTACGATGGACAGCACAATTATGACTTGCAGGTTGCAGGTGTCATTGTTCGATTTAATAACACGCTCCAAAACAGAACCAGTCGAGATAACTATTACTCGACTTTCTGGTTAAGTAAATTTAAAATAATATATTTAAAAAACTCGTCTAGACAATTAAATGAGACACGGCGACTCGTCTCACAGGTGTTCAATACAACATATTGTTATTTGTTTTAAAACTACAATAATAGAACATATCGATAGTAACTTTCTAATCTACTTTCCAGAATAGTGAAAAAAATAATCTCATATCATTTATACTTTCAAACGAGATGCATATACATTAGATAATTTAAATACTATAGCATTAAAAAGAAACCTAGAACTAGACGTTTCTTATTTAATAAAGACTTTCTTTATATTAAAACAGTAATTATATAAACACTAATTAAATTAATATAAAATAAAAATTCTATACAAATTCGTATCTGTCAACCTCCAAAAAGGTTCTAAAGGATTTTAGCACGGAGATTGGCATTACGGCGAGATATGAAGCCAATTTATTAAAAAAAAAAGAGTGTTATATAAATAATATAACCAAATGTTATAATTAAAATGCGAGGATTCAGAACATATTTAAACCTACAACCGGTACTCCTTGAGAGAGGTCATCGTCGTCTCACTGACGCTCGGACAAACATTGTAATAACTCATATATTAATATAACGACTGAATACTATGATTTAATAAATATTAAGTAAGTAATGATATTAGTACTGCAATATTATTTTTCTATTTATTTGAAAAATATGTACCTATATTTCAATAATCTACAATTTATCTTAACCATTGTTTTCACAGCCATTTATTATCTGTGATTACTTTATAGTCTATAAGTTTTTTTTTTATCTGTGACAACATTTTAGCCTATGCCATATGTATATGTTTAATTTTATTCTATATCTAATACTTGTTTATGCTACAACTGACCTTAGTCTCAAGTTTTTCCGTTTCGTTCTTATAATGACTGCGTTCATTTTCAGTCTTCTCAAGTTTAACTCGAAGCGTTTCCAGCTCCTCCTGTGGAATTAAAATAATTATTAATAACACGTCAACCTGACATATAAGTAACATGCACAAGAATCCAGATAATATGTATAAATATAATTTACTTTAAGAATTTTCATATATATGTATGTATATATTTATAATTAGCCGTTATTATTTCAATGAACTCGCGACTAGTATTCTTTTGATTACAATAACAAACGTGTACCTAAACACACAAACACACACACACACACACACACACACACATACATATATATACATATTAAAAGCCTCGATCTCACTAGACATCGAATTAGCTTCTAAGGCTGCGAATATCTGTACTCATAACGGTTTGTATTCATTAAAATAAAATTCCTGTTAGTGATATATATATAAAAAATTAAAATCCATAATAGAATACAAGAAAAACGCAGCATCCACAATAGCATAGCTTGTGAAGAAAGCTGCTGTGGTATGATGATCAAGATATCAACTCAAGCGGAACAGACCATTCATATCTCATTTTGTCAGAATGATCACTTATATAGGCGAAGGCGAGATGAGGTTTTCGCTCCACTATAACTTCACAATAATATTAATTATAAACTACATCGAATTTATTTCAAACGAGTAAAGATTTTTTTTATTTATATATTTCAATTTTAAATTTATCAATATTTTTTTTACATACGAAATATTTTTTTGAATAATTCTTACAGCTAAATGATTGCTTTTTCTTATCTGACATAAGACCACTGATAAAATGTCAAATAATGTAAAGGTAGGCTTTAAAAAAAAATTATTGTCCAATACATTAGTCTGAGACAAAAAAATACCATCATTAATGCTTTCTATTACGTCAGAATAAGGTCCCTTAAACCTACACTTGGGTCGCAAGTCCCATGCACTGTTGTAGCTCTTCTCACTACAACGATGGACTCGACACCCTCATGTCGAATCCATGAAATGCTGGGATTTTTCTTGTCAAAACTAGAATTTTAACTATAAATGTATAAACCAACTCATGTTTTTTCCCCCGACTTTCATTTCCGCCGTGTTAAGTAAAAAGTTTGAATTCCAGCCTTCTCTAATTATATCACACGAGTCATTAGAAACTGTACGAGATCAATTTTCTCTCGTCTCCTTTAGCAAGCCGACGCTAGTGTTTGCGGTTTTCAATAAACGATGACACCGCTCGCATTATGACTAGCCCTTCCTGTATTACGAGCGAACGAAAAACGACCTTATCGCTACAAAATATATATCAAAACAGAAAAAATATTAATTGAAACGTTAAATCGCACAAAAGCATTGGTTTCAATGGATTCAGTGGTGTGTGAAACGCTGTACACATTCCACGACATAAGAGTATCAACTGCAACCACATTTACATACATGTTACGTAAAAATTTTGTATTAAATATTCTTAAACAGCTTATATTCTTTATAATAATTGTATGAACATTAAAAAGGACTTGAGTTTATCATGCCAATGTTATAAGTAGATTTCATGTACTTTTTTTGATCATCGAAACTTCAAACAAACAAGTATTACAAAAAAATTCAATGTCAACTAAAAGACTCTAAAAGAGGATGCATATAAATAATAAAAAAAAAGAAACACTTATAACAATTTAGAAACAGTTTTTGTATATACAACCAGTTTTCTCGTCGTTTAAAAATAATTCCACAGACGCTACATAGATTGAGGATGAACAAAAAAAAAAACAAGTCGATCGAAGCCCACATAAATAGAAACAATTACACAAATGACAATGTACAATACATCCAAAGAGGTCCATATATGTCATATAGAAACTTTTTACTAACCATCCCTATTGGTATTCATATCGTGAGAACATTAGCCCGTTATGTTGGTAAGCTACAGAGTTTATGAACAGTTTTTATGATGAACAGTTATTTCCAACCCTGATCTAATTATCTGATTCGTTTCTCGTTATAGAAGATGCAGCTGACTGGTCTCTTTTTCATCTCGTTCACAGTCCAATGACGCTAACGAATGCTCGTTCGGTGGGGTTAGTTTTTGAGTTGTTTTAAAAATGTATATCATAACGGTATTGTAGCCTGCTATGTATTAAAAGGCTCTAGATTATTATTGGTCAATGGTAGATAAATTTATATTATTATTCAAATTGTCAATATCGAAAACATATTAAAAAAATACCGATTTATATTTCTAATAGTGAGACAACTTAGATCTAATCAAAATTTATATATTTTTTGTAGAAATAAATAAGATTTCTACTTGTACAAAGAAATCTCAATGCAGAATAATAAATTGAAAGCATTCGAATCAATTAATATAAAATCATAGCGTAACTTTCCATATATACCGCAATCTTTACGTAAAATCCAAGAAATTGCCATAAAGTGGATTATAAAATAAACGCCTGAATTAATTCCATTAATTAATATATGATATTTGTGAAAGTTTGATTGATATATGATCGATAACTCGCTAAATTACTATATCAATTATATTTTTATGTGTATCAAATCTTTAATTTAATAACGTTTTCAATACTTAATATTAATAAAATGCGGGATATTTTATCTATAATATTTTTTCTATTTATTCCTTCAGTCCGGTTTTTTTTATATTTTATATTCACTCGTATAATGCATACAGATATCAAAACATCATTATTGAAATTTAATATCGCATCATTTAAACGCTTCACAACTTTTTTCTTTTATAAAAAACCAAATGTATTATAATAATTTTTATATAAAAAACGTCTTTACATTTACATTTTCCTCTTGGACTTTAAAACGTCATTTCCAGGACCGAGAATATTAGCACATTTAAATAGCTGTTAAGAGTCATAATATTTTTTGTTTTGAAGCAACAGTATTACAGACCATTGCTTAGCCGTAATTAAACTCGCATTGAGAGTTTTAATGGCGTTCTTATTGCGTCTCGTATTTTTTTGTTCATTATATATACGTATATATTATAAAAACAGTTTATACATCTGATGCTGTTTACTTATACATTATGAAAAATTACTGTAAATATATCTATCGCCGTAAAACAAATACAAAACGAAATTGTTAGCCTTATTAGTACGAACTAAAACAATTTTTATCAGAGACTTAGAAGTGAAGAACAATAATTTCTCTAATGCTGTTGCTAATTCAAAATTTAATTTCTAAAACCAGACTTTTTATAGTAGCCAAATATTCTACCGATACGGGTTCAAAGTATTTACTGTAATTGAGATATTACGATGCGTTATCTAATATTAATCAACATTTCTCTACAACTGACCGGTTCGTACAGAAAATAAATATATTATCAACTAATAACTACCACGTATCTCCCTTCCGCATCTCGTTGCACCGTTATATTTAATGAGATCTTATAACGACATCGCTGTATGAAAATATTCACATTATTGTACAAAATATTCACGTTTAGGGAGATAAATAGATAAATAGCACTTGGTAACGAACTGAAGTATTATATAATATAATCAAAGAAATGTCAATTCCGTTACAAGACCAGTTAGTGTTTACGTAACGATTGATCGGATTAATTGATCATTTGTCGATAAAATCAGGATTTGTCGTCATGAAAGCAAACGTCGAAGATAAGTTGGTTCGTTAAGTCATGTTATACAAACAGTTGTTTAAGTAATAATTTTGTACGTACAAATTAATCACGCCGTTTGCATAATCGTTATAAAAATTAACTATTACAGAATGACATATGATTATTGTTAAGAAGCGAATGTATTTATTAAGAAGTTATTAAATAAGAACCGGTAACAGAACTCATATTACTTACAGTTTTAAGGTCAAAAGTTTTAAGACTTCTAATTTAAACTTGTACTATCTTCATTTTCACGCATTTGTACTAGGAATAAGGACGAAACTTTTCTTATTAAAACATGTTTTAAAGGGAAAATTGAGCATTTGTTGAGATTTTACTTCATGTACCATACTTGAGGTGACTAATGTACCATCAATACAATTCGGTTTATTAAGAAAATATAGATGTTGAACATTAATATAAACAAGTTATAAAGTGGTGATCGTAGTTTAATCTGAACACAAATTGTATGCTAACAAATGGATTTTCTTACTGAATTAATAATTATGTATGCGTCCAGGTAATTTGTTGTCCCGGTCGAAGCTAGCGGAGCCACAAACCTGATCGATTAGCCAGGTGTGAGGTCCCTTTGCATATTAATAAACAAGCTTGATAAATAATCATAAGAAATAGATTACCATAATGAGATCCCGAACAAGGAAGCTATCAGGAGTATGTTCAAAACATGTTTTGTAGTCATTAGCGAGTCGTAAGTAAACAGATATATTTGTTTTCCCTTTAAAACTTCCCGAATATATAGAGATTACGAAACAAATGTCGCCAGTTGTTCCTACAATGCGATAATACTGATACCGCGTACAGTGAATGATGCCACTGAGTATGTGACTTGAACACAACAGCCAGGAAGCGTTTATGCGCAATAAAAATGAACTCTTGAGATAACTCCGGGATGACTTGTATTAGACATTTCATCACAAGATGACCCCGTTGCAGCATCGCGGAAGCATTTCATATCTTTTATACCATTTATTGATGTTTTTAAAATTAATCAATAGAATCGTTTAGAAATTTTCGTATTAGTGAATAAGTTCATTTGCATAATTTCGAAAATAGCGATCGATAATTTTCTAACACGTACCGAGTACGTCTATGCGAAGTGACTTTCGAAAATATTCAAAAATTTCTTTTTCATCCAAATAGGTGTTATATTCATATAAGCTTCTGTATGGTGACAGTTTAGAAAAGGATATGAAATTTTGTAATACCTTAGCGCATTAGGAACCTGTTTTATTAATATCCCGATATTATAAGTAAGAGTGGAACTTAAGAGTTCTAGGTAAAAGTTTTTACTTCCTATATTCACATAATTATGTGTAACTATAAATTAGTAAGTTGCTGAGATTTTATTAAAATGTTATTTATGAAAATTTTCGCAAATTTTTTTCAATTATACTCCGATTATACCCTAGGTGTGACTATGTGTGTAGGCTAAAATTTAACAAACCGTGAAAATAGTATCAGTTGACGATATTAGCGTATTAAATGAAATAATATCTTCATGAGAACAATTCTTTTAACAAATTAAGTATGAGATATGATATCGAGTGAGTTACACAATAAGCCGACATAACAGAGACGTTCCGTCTACATCGAGGAAACCTGTCTGCAACGAAAAAAGCGGTGAAAGTGTAAGCAATTATTGAACTGATTAAAAAATAAAATCAACTTTAAACCGATGCTGATAAAGGTTATTTCACGTTCATGATAATTGCTTCTTCGTTTTTAATATTACGTCTTCTGGCTCCGTTAATGCAAATACGAAAGCAACTAATGATTAATAACTTTTTGAGACAATTATCGGAAACAGAAGCGTCGTTTGGATTCGGTTATATTTAGATATCTACTGGTATGTTTTATTCTACACTAGAAGACCTGGCGAACTTCTTATCGCCCTATAATCAAAAAGTATCTATTACGTATTTTTAATCGTTAAGTATATATAAACGTATTAAATCTCCGTGTTTTGAAGTGCGACAGAATGATTGACATATTAGTTAGTTGTCAAATCTAATGTCAAAAAAAACGTTTGTATGGGAAATAGAAAAGGGTTGTTTTTATGGTTTTCCCAGTAATGAATCAATTTTTTTCAGCTTTTATACCTTCCCTGAACCTCCACGAACATTTCAAGACTAAGATAAGATAAATCCGTTCAGCTGTTCTCGAGTTTTAGCGAGACTAAGGAACAGCAATCCATTTTTATATATATAGAAGATAGAAGATAGAAGATATGCTATCAAACTCGCATGTCATATTCGTAGTATTTCTACAGTTATATAAGACGATTAGCGAACCTAGGAAATGCCTACTTCTTTACCCTTTGGGAATACAGGTAGAATGCATTGTATGTAATTATATAAGCCGTTACATAAGATATCACATATAAAACACGTGTTCGCGTAATGAGAATCAATTTGAGCAAATTGAGTGAGAATTTGCATATAATTGAAACGATCTGCCGTTATTGTTTCCTTTACGTTCAATTTATGCTAAAATCATCACCACCATTAAACAATTATAGATAGTTAAGTGAGATTGGAAGGTATTTGAATATTTTGAATTGTTCAAAAGTTAATTGGTTCTCAAAGAGCACGTATGCTAGCAGAGGAGATTGAAGAAATGCTTCTCTCTGATATAATGTGGCGCCAAAATATTTACATTTATGAAGGTGTTTTATATAGCATACAGGTATTTATCTAGGTAGTAGTGCCAGAGTCTATTTACGTTAGCATTGTTTATGAGTATAGAGTTGTTTTATGACTTGGTGCAATTTCTCAAAAAGTTGCAAGAATATTCCATGGTAATCCACCCATGTCACAATGGACGTACAGAAAAATTATATTAACACCAATAATAATTATTATACATCTGTGAAAGAAGGAAAATTGTTTCCGGATTCCTGTGCAATGATCAGTTTAAATAAATGTATGATCAACAAACCTGTGCCTGTTTGAGCCTGTGTTCTGTGCGATGCACAGCCAGTAGCGGTGTGACGCGCACCAAAAGTCTCCACCATGGCCAGTCACGAACCGCAAGGAAGGCGCGCACATTACGTTGGACGCATCTGAGAGAATACTTACTTATTAAAAGTAATACTAAAGAAAAAACTTAGGTCATTTTATTTGACTGTAATACGCTACTGCTGATAAAGACAAATTAGAGACTTATTGTAAGTACTGAACAATAGGCATTCCAAAGAAAAAACAACACTACAATATCCATACGTAATTAAATCGGCATCAAGGCTTATCAGAATTCTGTTTTAAATACAAAGTTTTTATGTATCATATACATTTGACAACTGCTTAATAGTTCAGTACCAATTAGACACAAAAAACATGTAGTGTTATTGTCATATTATATACCTGGCGGCGGTGTGTTGAGTGCGGAGTCTTTCAGCTTTTCTCCTTGCCAAGAGACCTCGAGCCCTCGCCTGTAGTCTGACGAGGACTCGAGCGAGGGCAGCGTCACGGCGGGCATCCAATTCACCCACCACGCCGCCTCTGAACATGATCTACAACACAAAAACATATATAACAACATAGGAATTGAGTTTATTATCCAAAAGCAGGCTAATCCACACCATTACGCGATCTATTGTCGGTTATTCAATAATAATTTAGCAAAACACATGTTATTTGAATGTAGGCGTGCATCATTACATACGCGATACATTACATTATACAATAAATAACTTGTTAGTTGGCAACAAGTTTATTTTGTAAGGCATGATTACATTTAAATATGTAAATTAAGTTTTCGTCTGGCCGTTGACTTCATCGGGTTAGAATTTATGGGAGCAGATAATGTTGTATTTGAATATTGATACTGGTTAAGTATTACTTTATGCTTATTTGGCAAGTGGCTGTATAGTGAAGAGATAATATACCGACGTAAAATATGCTTCGACGAATAAGATATAATATAAGTATTAGAAGCACAAAGTGTATTAATACTCAAGTCTTTGGGTCGTCTATAAACTAGTTTCATTTAATATAAACGAGAAATTATATGTTTTTTTTTTAACATACGTATTCAAAGCATTATGTATTTGTTCATATGTAAAATTCACGAAAAGTGGTCGGTACTTTTGTGGAATGAAAGCCACATATTGCAAATAATAAAATTGAATCTTACGGTTCAATTTTTCTTTTACAATTACAAAACAGTTTCGGGGAATAGTGACAGAAATAGATTTTTTCCGTCACGTTTTCTCATGCCTTAGTTAGCACAATACAGCGGTTTGGTGTAAAGCTATTAACATTTCACTTGTAACGACACCGGCAATGTAAACATTAATGACAGTGACCCTATTTCGAATAAAAACATCGTTTGAGAACGTTTACATTGTCACGGAACGACAAAACAATGTTCTTTGTACGAGAAATACATCGTTCAAACTTTAAAGATGTATTAATAACTTTATCGTCACGATTCTCTTACTCAATATGATATTCTGTTACAAATCGGTGAGTTATAATGTAAACGTTCACTGCTCTAGTTCCAGCTAGTACATGTCACCTGACTCACAGACGATAGTTTATTGTTGTTACACGAGTCGTATAGAAATAAATGAATGTGACATCTTAACATTGATAGGATGAATAGTGTTCGATCAAATGTTCAAAGTTCTTATAATTTTTTTCATTAAATTTACTGTTGTTTTCTCTATAAAGCATTTAATTGTGAATGCAATTTTCTTTTTATATTTAATATCCACAATATAATGTCATTATTAAAGTATAAATAGATTAATAAGTCATATATTTAGAATAACAATTCTATAATAAAATCTATGAACAATTATTTATATGAATAAATCATGTTTGTTTGTTTATATTAAATATGCGACGCCTAGCAATGTTGCAGTTATCAAAGAATTTATTATTATAAGATATTATTAATATTTACCGGATAAATAAATGATTCTTGCACAACATAAACATATAATGTATGAGTTTAATTTCGGACAATTTATGAAAAGTCTGGTCCTTACTTCCTTACTATTATTGCTATTAATTTTTCTACTTACTGTAATTTTAATATTATTTACCTATTTGTTAAGATAAGTCTATAACATTTTTATTCGTTAAGGAACGTACTTGATAAAGGAAGCTTAGTCGCAATGTCTTAAAATCCAATATTTCTAGTACTTTAACAGTATTAAATACATTTTTTTATCATTATATATGACAAACGAGCATCATTATTTATTTACATTATTATAACTGCATCTAAATGATAAGATCAGTAACGATTCAAATATACAACGCTCCAGTTAGCATAAATTGGTTGCATAGAACATACAGGACGCGTTATTTAGACATCTCTATTATAATACATACTTTTATAAATAAATTATTACAAATGTATCTCTTTATGTACATATGTTTATTAAGAAATATGAATATTACGGTCAACGACTTTTATATTCTGTTCAGGAGACAATACACATGTGACAATGAATGAAAATATTTAAGAAATTCGAGTCATAATAAAAGTAAATCTGATATTAAAATACAGGTAAAGTAACATACATTCAATGGTTTTCATTTAAATCATGTACATTAAACGGCATAACTTAAATTGTAATCCGAGAATAGAATTAAAAAATACATCACGTAAATGAACCGTTTGTTTCAAGAATACTGTATTCTCTATAATTCAATTGTAAATCGTTTAATCGTTAAAAATATATTTGGAAACAAATAATATACATAGATAGACGTTTGGTAAAATCCAAGTGTATACAAATTACAATTCTTAAATGCGTTAATTACAGTCTTTAAAGGATGTGAAAAAGCTAGACATTATTGATGTCCTTCAATATTCAATTGTCTCTCAGCAATTGTTGAGTTTTTTTTACTTTTAATTTTTTTTAATCACATATTTCTTAATTGCATGGTGTTTTGTATAAAAAACAATTATAGTTCTATGGTAGTCTAATATAGTTGATGATGAGGTGAAAGCGTGATACGATACATTATTGTAGATTGCAACATTGTGGGCTACTTCTACAAGTACTTCCGTTTCTGCTCTCTAGCGAGGGCTGTCACTCAATAAATACACACTTAACATAAATTAATGACCTAATCGTTTAAACAAAAATAAAAGAACGTAGACATCAGATAAAAAAGATACGTATAAACCGGATATATAGCATGTATTATATGAATATATTTTCTTGAGATTTCGACAACCCTACTTGATAAAGCAAGCCCGCCGTACATTCCCATGATACAATTGAAACAAGCTATCAGTCATGTAATTACAGGTTGTAAACATTGTATTAGTATTACTCACATATTTTTAAATACCCAAGAATTTGTTCCACCATGAGATAATTTTATAGCATAATAAACAGAAGCTCTTATAATACCTTTAATACAGTTGAATTTCTATATTCATAGTTTGAGTATAAACATGTTTTTAATTAATCTCTTAGAATTCTTTAGAGACTAAATTTGGTGTATTTTTTTCTTTTCCTCTTTCAAATTTCCGGTGGGATTATGTAAGTCGTTCATTGATCTTAACGGATAGTGTCAATTAAAATAGCTTTTTCCATACTACAAGTTATGAGGTGTTATAAAATGCATTAAAAAGATATTTTATGATTGTTTAATATCTTGAAAAAACTACTAAATATTTTCATTGTCAAATACTATGTAATGATTGGTGACTTTCGCTCCAACAATAAAATGTAGGTATGAATACGTCATGTATTAATATTGAAATAAACTATAAAGCAACGCTTTCATCGGATTTCATCTTTATTTTATAGACATAGAACTCAAATTCCTTTAAGTAACGACTTCTATAAAGCTTTGATATAATAAATCAAGCAACCAACAAAGAACGTTATTAGATTTTTTTAATTGCTTTGGAAAAGTGAAATGGTATCGAATATAAACGCCCGCATAGTCATTATGTACGGATATAGAAACAGAATTTAAAAGTTGAATGAGATAAAGTAGTACTGACTGTAGTAATATTATGAAACACTAGGTGTAGTCGGCAGTTTCACTTGGGATAAAAAAAAATCTACTGAGATTATAAACCTTTTGTACATTACTATATAAAATATGAAACAATTCCATAATCTTGAGTGTTAAGTTCATGATCAAGTAGTAAATAAATATATTATCTCGTTTATAATCACGAAGAGGTAAAACTTACATTGCAATACTTAAAAGTTCATTACACTTAAACAAGTCATGTTACTTTGACGCATACAAATCAGATGTCTGAACATTAGCGGAATAATTATACTTAAGTAATGCATTGACCACTCAAGAGTTGCGTTATGGAGCTACAGTATAGGAACGCGAAAGCAGCACGTGACAGGTTTCTAAAACAGTAGGTATACGCTAAAATATATACATATATACATCACACTGCGAATAGTTAGTAGCGATGACCTCAAGTGAATTTGAACTCTGTAGTACCGTTATATGTATAATTAGAATTATAATCATTTTCAAGATCTTAGAAAAATATCTTTCGTTTTTGACCATAAGCAAAGGAATATTTTAATTTCTTTTACAAGTATCATTACATAAGCAGTCAATTGAGCTTGCATCAGATAGAATGAGACAGGTTGTCTTACCAAGCTTCTCTTAATAGTGATTTATTAAACAAATATTTGAGAATGCTTGAATGAAGAATAACATAATTATTGTCACTTTCATCTTTGAGAGTTTGTTAGATTTTAATGGTTTATCCGGTATCGTGTTTTATGGAACTATCCCTGGTCAATCCGTCGAGAACTCAGAATGCACCATACATACAAATAACGTGAATGTTATATTATTGGAAAGGTTCTGATACGATTTCTATGTGATGCACGTAACATGGAAGAAAGTCAAGAAAGTGAATATATATTTTGCAAGCACCATGAAAGTTCATACATCAACGTTTTAACGACTGACGAATTTCAATGTTAGCGAGATTATCGCTTTCGCACTCTTCTGTTTATTGACTTGTTGTAGTTTTTCAAGATGTATGTGATGTACGATATTTTATGTTCCGCTAAGCATTAAATTAACTTGAGACGAGAGCTGAGCAGACGAGCTTAGTGAAAGTGAGAGCGTAAATAAATTTGACCTCTCGACAACTTGTCAACGGATAATGCGTACCGAAGTTCATAATTCATAATTTTTAATTAAAAATCCATCATCAGAATTTATTTTTATATTTATGTATTTATTTTTCCTATTTAATGCACTTAGATATATATTCTATATACGTACGGTGTAATGATTTTGTGTCATACATTTACATATGGGGTATTTTTTCTATTGAACTAGAATGGGGGCGAACAACAATTGACAATCTTTATTTAAAATCTCTTCGGTTGAACAGTCAAGTGATCAGTTTGTAGTCGTTACGCAACACGCCGTGTACGGATTATTACAAAAGAATTTTTACGCATGACTTTAAACATTACATAATTAAAAATTACCAAAAAGAAATTTATCTTAAGAATGTCAGTGTACTTTTATGTAACTAACATAATATTTATTTTGATGACAAACAAGACATTAAATGTTTATGATCGTATTAGCTACGCTTAATAGCATTATACGTTTAGGTTTTAATGCACATACATAAAGAAGTATATGGATCTAGCATATGTATGTCACTGTCGCATTGTTTGTTTATATTAGGTTCCGTATTGCAGAACTTCGAGTTATAACAAGATAAGATATAAATATATAGTTAATACACGAATTGTTTGATGTTTACCATGTTTACGGGAGCGGAGTAAATAGCACCTGTAATTTTCTGTTATCGATATGTTAAGTGGCGTACCTGTTCGTCCACTTTCGGAGTGTCGGCGATGGCGCGAATACCGCTAGCGACCTCATTGCAGCGTTCACCGCGCCGGGCGGGCCGCACTGGACATACGTTCTTCGCATTCTCCGGCAGTTCTACCCTGAACTGTTTGGGAGCATCAAACAATTTACAGCCCAGTTCATCAGCGCTGCTGTCCGCTCGGCTCATTTCAAGGACGTTGTCGAACACGGCATCGTTATCGTTAGCAGCGTCATTAGAAACGTGACCGGAGTCGTCGCTGCAGTCAGAGTGCGTGTCCGATATCTTCTCCTCGGAATGTTTGTGCAAAGTCAGCTTATCTTGCTGGCTGTATGTCTTAATGTCGTCCCTGGATTCTATGCATTTAATTTGGCGACCCACGAGTGTGCTCAAATGATTATGGAATGTCGTATTAGCTACGCATACCTCTTTATGAAACGGCGGTATCACCTTACAGTTTGTAAATTGGGCGGTCTCGGTTTTCAATTCCAGAGCTGTTTTAAACTCCAACTTTTTTACGAGATATTTAACAGGTGATAGCATAGAATCGATTTCATCCGTGTCGTTTTGGTTTCGGTTATTATCGGGCATTTCTACTGTAAGATCTCGTTTGTTGTTTATTTTTTTTACTTGTATTTTAGCGCGCACGGCGTTCAATTCATCAGAGTAGTCTCTTAGAGTACTCTTTGGTGATGATGATGCGACTTTCTTTTCACTTGAATCTTTCTTAGCCTTGTCGGATTGACGCTTCGAGTCAGCTTTTAAATTGATCTGGGATTTTTGTCGCGTTTGTTTCATTTGATCGATTTTTTCAGCTGTTTTTCGAGACAGGATGGGCTTTTTTTTCTGAGCACACTCTCTGGGCTGGTCTACATTAGTTAGATCAACAGGAGTGGGAGAAAAAAGAGCTCGCGTGGTGCTAAATTTATTTTGTGACATTTGGCTCCTGATCACCGGGATCTTACTAGGAGAACCCGCGATAGAAGTACTTGATTTAGTTCTCTCCAAGCCAGGCGAAATCATAGATTCATTACCAATCTCCCAAACACTTTTAGCTTTTTGCATTTGGGATTTTGGCATATCTATAGTGTTTCTGGCATTATTAAGACCGCTTCTTGGTTTATCCTTTTTGATGTCAGTGAACTTCTTATCCAGTTTTTTTGGAATCGGTTTCGTTTTTGACACGACAGGTACGGGCGTGGATGGAGGATTTGATAGGGTCTTTTTTAGAATTCTTGTTTTTACGTCCATTTTTTTCAAGTCTTCTGTTTTTATGGTTGTAGCGCGGGTCGTGGGTTTTGATGATACTTTATACGTTGCATATTTGTCAGAACTCATTTTGTCAATAGGTAAAGGATTGAGCGGTGTAAGAGGACTTGTTAACTCCTTACCTCTCATATCGTCTAGATTCCACAAACTCGTAGTTTTGTCTATAGAGTTATTTCTCGAAACGAGATGCCGCGTTCTTCGCTCCGTTTCGGGATCAGAATTTTTTTTCTTCAAAATGCACCGCGACTCAATAATACTACAAGTTTTAGATTTTTGTAATTTGGGTACTACGAAATTAGGATTGTGAGTTAAAAAAAGGCTCGAGGAAAATTCTGTTAGAATTTTATCAAACGATTCCAAGGCCTTCCCTAATTTTGATTCGGAAGTTAAAGGCTCGATTTCTGTTGTAGAACAATCGATTTTCCCAATAAATGTAATATTTTCATAAATAGATGAATATCCTTTCGTTTCTTCCAACAAATTACTACTAACCGGTGATAGTTTGTCCGAGTTCACAATATTAACATTCTCATACACGTTACTTTGTAATTTCGAACCATCCGATGAGTTCGATGAATCGCAAGTATTAGTCTTTTTCAATATATTTTGCACGTCACTCTTAGAAATAGTAGGCTCAGTAATCTTTTTCTCGATACAGGCAGCTATCGCGGTTACTTTGCCGGGTTTGTGCTCCGTTGAGTTTTCGGGACTGACTGAAAATGTCCTGTACAATTTTTGAATAGCCCCATGAGCGGGGGGTGTCGGTTGCTTCTCGGTCGGCTTCTGCCCACCAAATATACTAAATACTTTCACTGCGGGCATATCGCGGGCCCGACGCACGGGCGATCGCGGTCGCGGAGCGTGGATGCGCGCGCGCGTTACGGTGTACGGCGTGCATGTGCGCAGGCGCAGAGTTCTACACTGCTATCAGACTCGACACTCGCGACAATAAGAAAGTCAATGTCACCTTACAGGGCTACTTAGACACAAACAATTCACAACACTCTTGCTAATGGTTACTGCGGTACAAGTATAACCATTTATTTATTTATTTTTATATTATATACATTATTAATAGTTCAACAAAAAATCCGCTTCAATATTACTTGTACCAAGATACAATAAATCTTATATTAGGTTTTAAACAAAGATCTATTGGGTTTAATGTGATCGTAACCTATATCAAACAGTTGTGTCATAAAATAGTTTAAATAGGGTTACGTAAACAGACCAAACGTTACCTAGAAAAAAATAAATTTTACATCAACCTAGATACTATTTCGCTTTAAAATCCCGGTTATCCTGTTACCAATTGTGTATTAACGTATGTGGGATACGATAATCTTGAGTTCAGTTTTGTAATACGATAATTTCATTTACAACAGAGTAATTGACGTTTACATGTGAAAGATATCGTAACATTCAAGTTTTGTGATTATAGGCAGTTAATGTTTTCTACTCATATACGAACAATAAAATTGTTAAATTGAAGTAAAACACGAATCGAACATATTTTGATAGAAATATTATTTCAAACATATAAAAATACATAATAATAACAATTATAAATGAGAAATCATAATAATATTGTATCACTCTTGGCTTGCTACCTGTGTTATCTGTTACTTGACGCTACGGAGGCATTGAATTCCAACACTGCATTAAGTTAAACATTTGGAAACCACATATTTACAAAATAATACAAAAAAAATTTACAAAATTTAACGAAACATTAATAAAGACACGTATCATATTCCACAATGTCTTCAACACTAGTACCTAAAGCAAAAGTCAAAACAATCTCATTAGGTAATGTTTAAAAATTTCAAATGTTCGCCTCGGTGGTTATCTGTGTTAATGTATAATTTAATTATATTGTAACAATCTTAAAACTGGGAGAGTAACGTCTGAATAACTACGAGGTTTTCTGTTGCTCGAGCATAGCGAGGTGACAAACTCTGACAATTAAACAATTGAAACAGATCGAATTAAACTAATTAATGGAGCAATCATAATCACACATGAGTCCAACGAAAGAAATCCTTCATTTTTTATAAACACCGTCTCTTTATAATTGAAACTTTCTCCAAAAATAATTATCATTGTTAATGACGATATAATTTTTCTCACTTACTTCATATTCATCGCTAATTAAAATTGAAAATTGCCAAGCACTGTTCGTTTATGTTTAATACAATGAATACGACTATCACGAAGATGTCCAGTATTCAGATATTTAGACGTAAAAGGGTTAGTACTGACAAATATATTGAAATAAATGCTTCTATATGAAGTGATATATTCTTGAGGCGTGTAAACGATGTATTCGCTGAGTGACGACATCGTAAATTGCTTGTCTGATGAGTTAATTGGATAATTTACATGAAGAAATTGACTAATCAAGCATTCCATGTGTGCTAAAAAAAATGTAACCTTTGTATGTTCAATGGTAGATCGGTGACACTTAAAAAATAATTTGATAACACAACGCAACACATACAAAATCATTCATTTGATTCGTTATTCCCTCGAATAAATATTTATAGTAACTTAGTAAAAAAAAATTACTTCTGATATACTTGTTTACCACAAAATTAATCGTACTTATTTACATATATCAATTTCCTTTAAGCCACAGTGTAACAAATTGTCGAAGACAAATATAATTCGTAGTCTACAAAGTATCATATTGTCATCATAACCTGTGGCAGGAGTACATAGGTACAGTAACATCCACAGTTATTAACTAACAATTACTGTAAACTAATGGCAGGTCTCATTGATATCGGTTCAAAAGAAACTATTCACACGCATTTCACCAAACGAAAGTAATTGTATATTCTCTAACACCGTAATGACTCTATCACTATATGTTCTGAATACTAATTGATGATGTAAAAGAAAGTATATGTGAAAATCGCCAGGCTACATACAAGTATACGACTTGCAAAAAAAAACTATCATCATTATAATATGTAATAACATTGAAGAAATATGGATTAGAAGAGAAAACTATTGCATCTCGAGTGTCTCGATAAGTTGGTTAACACGCAATATTTACGATTATTTCATACATAATAGATTATCACGAAATAACTAAATACAGTCACACCAATGTTTCAGAGAGCTGTTAAATATTAACCCATACTTTTCGAATATACGCCACATTATAAATATGCCAGTAATGAGTAAATTCGAAAGTTTGTATGTGATTGTTATAAAATCACATAAAAATTAACAAAACTAGTTACATTTAATTGTTTTCTGGCAGTACATATATTAAATAACAATTACTAATCTATGGTTATAGTATTAAACTAGCTCGAAAGTTAATTTTATAAGCGAGGAAAGCCGAAGGAAAACCAAATCGTTTCCTATTCCGTTAAGGAATTCTTTATACCTACTGAAAGCTGGTTCTCAAGTTATAAATATCATTCGAAGTAAACTACCCAACATTTATACATTCATATGAATATAAACATGAATCGTCAAAGTCGTAAACACGACAAGCATCAACTGCTGGATGATATAAACAATGTTTAGTATCTAAAGAATAACTTACATCTAAGAACTGAATATACTCAAGTGTCGCTGACCTCCAGCCCCTAGTATTACTATAAGAGCAAAGTCACAGTAATAAAAAAATGTTTCATCATTTTATAAATATCATCGAATTTTTATATATCTATCTATTAGATCTTTAACATCGGGAATAATTTGGTTAAGATTACATCGTCAAGCATACGATAAAGTACATAATTTAACAGATAATTTTACGAGTACTATGCAGTATTACATAGTTCGAATTTTTTTATTTCATTTCATCTTAATTCATATAAATTCAATTCAAGTTAAAACAGTAGTAATGGTCAGACGTATAGTGGGCGGTAGACAATGAGATCGTATTGGGGATTGTTCCATATATTTAACAAGAGTTAGAACATGATGAGGCCGGCTTATAGAGGAAGTAAAGGATTGGTAGCGTTTTATTATTAAATTTACGATCAACTTACAAAGTTTAGTTAATTCGTCAAATAATATTAGTATTATCAGAATTGAAGCAAACTTTTTAATTACTTATATAAATTTGCAAAGCAAAAAACGCTTGAAGTTTTTACTTAAAACGGTAAGATTTACAATGTGATTAAAAATAATATACTCGTATTTTCTTTTGTGTAACTTATGTTTGGACTATTCGTATGTAAGTGAATATTATTCAAACATTCTAAATAAAAATGAAAGCATGTTAGTCTAGTACGTAAGCATCGTGTCACTAGGAATTGAAAGAAAACAGGAAGAGAGTTGTAGCGAGGGAGATTTATGCGACACACGATGTACTCAGCAACTAGTTAAGTTATGTACGTGGACATGTATAGCGGACACTGTTACTGAGATATTTAACACTGAGTTACTTGATACAGATATAAGAAACTATTATAAACTTGACTGTGAGCCGAAAGATAAAATACACTTAAACTTTTCTGTATAAACTTTAAGTAATTACTAAGGTTGGACTTGGAGATTTATATGTATGTTACATAATGCTAAAAATAATTGTAAAAAATAAATTAATTCCATACAGTTTTTATAAAGATCTTGAATAGTTTTCGCAAGAAATCAAATCAAATGTCTATATATTACATGTGTACATATAAAACATTTTTTTTTTATTATGCATATTACATAATGATGTAATAATTTTAATAAAATTTCAATTCACGTAATCCAATGTTACTAAAAATGTTTCAACACTAATTACTTAAACATATCAAAATTCTAGTTACAAGTTACAAATATGTGACATAGATTACTTTAACATATGTAATAGTACCAATTTCTATTAAGTTTTTTAGTTGTTTGATAAGTAATATCAAAAGTTCAGTACAATGACCCCATTGCGTAATTTACATTCAACAGACGACATCATATAAAATCACATATTGACATCGGGTGTATATCTTTAAGTAAACTTTTTTATATGTATGCTATAAAATAAAATCAGTATTATAAAGACGAATATCAGATTATTTTACGCGGTATTTATATGAGCAAATAAAATATCTGTCGCATTGTATGTGAAATAGAAATAAAATCTATTAATGGAGAAATATTATTAGTAAACGTAGAAATGTAGCAATTTATTAATATTGTTAACCCATAGAAGGTTGATTTTGAAACGTTTAACGGCCACTATCACTTAGAAGTTATGAAACCATACATGTAAACGTTTTGTTTATATATTTCCCTGAATATAATATTTATTTAAAAAGTAAGAGGATTTTTCTATAATCAATCAATAATACATAATTATACACATAAGCTCCAAAGATCTGTCTGTTCAAAATAATAAATATTGTCAATACGTTAATAGCAAAATACTTCCGAAACTTAATTTGTAATGAAATCAGGTTAATGTTAAAAGTGGACGAATCCGGAGACAAGACCTAGTAATAATATCATAAATATTGTAAAGATGGAAAAAAATATTTTTTCCCTTAGACGTAAAATTAAACCTTACAAAAGTATTCTTTAACGAAAATATACGCTGTTTGAACTTATGTGGATGTAGTGATTCCTGTGTATATACAGGGTGACTGGTGAATTACTATCAATATTTAAGGAGCATACTCGGTACATGATTCTCATTCGAATTATGTAAAGAAAATAGGTACTTAATTTTTGACCAAATTTCCGTATAAATAAATAAAGTGTGTACACGTTCCAAGTGTTCCAAGTGTGGACGCGTACGGCGGCGTGCTGATACAACACTACGCCGCCGCCGCGTCTGTGTGTGTGTGTATATACCTAATCTGTAGGGTGTTCATACGATGCGTAATAAAATACATAACTTTTGGTTAACTTTACTTAGAAGTTTATTAATATTTATGTTATATTAATTTTTATTTTGTCATATATGATCATCAAATATCACGTCCTCAAATATCGATAGTAATTCACCGGTCACCCTGTATATATATTATAAGAAGGTTAATATAATATGATGAGCATTCTTTAGTATATAAAAAAATGTTATACTTTTATTGAATTAAAAAATATGCAAAATAAGAAATAATTGCACGATACAAAATGTAATAGTTTAGATAGCATAAATTAATTCCATAATCTTCTTTAGGATTTAGTAGGTCGTTTTAATTAACCCTTTCTAAAGGTAAGATCTCTCTTGCACTCTGAGCTCCGTATTTAAGGCGTTTTAGTTGAAACCATTTATAAAATGTATGGACCCAACTTTTACTATGTAAAATTGACTTTTACTTGACCGGAGAAATATTGCCAGAACTGTGTCTTGTCTATTTTCTAATAGATGAGGTTTACGTAAGAAAACTCTGAACTCAGACCCCATAGGCATTTAGTATTTTGAACCCAAAAATAATTGACAATTTTTAAGTGAAAAGATTTTCAATATATTAAAAAGAATATAAAGAAAAGACAAGTAATTGAAATAGTAATATAAATTCATACAACATTTGAACATCTTCCATCCTCGCAAACCGCATAGTTTCAACAACTTTCTAAGTGCTTGTAAATTTTAGATTCAAGAGATACAGCCGCTCCCAAAGAGCTTCACAATGAAGCTACTAAAAAATAAACTTTATTTCATAATATATAAGATTTAAATTCGTTAATTATAATCATATAAGGGAAATACCATCCCGATTACTCACAGACTTTCTACCGTGTCCGAGCCCTGACATGGGCCAGGAGTTATCACGTGATGTAAAGAACATTAGCGGAAAATGAATACCTAATGCAAGACCGGTGTCTGTTGACAAGTGAAAACCTGGAGGAGACATGTCTTATTAATAAGACATAATAAATATTTTAATCCATTGATGAAGTAACGGAAAACCAAAGAAGAATTAATATTTGTTAAATCATTATTTTATTATATACAAATTTATCTTTTGATAACATATGAAGAATGTAATTCCATTTTTTAATGTTGACGCCACTACTAGCGCCCTCTATCCATGCGAGGTGAAACTAAAGTATTGTAACTTGCTGTAAAAATTGTAGATGGCGCTACACGTTGCAACACTAAGTAACTTACGTATTGATCTCGCAAAAAGAAAAGTATCTATTTTTTATTTAAAAATTATATATGTTGTACAAAATAATTATAAAAATTAAAATCGACGCTATATGAATCAAATCGATATATGTACTAAAATTTGTGTCGCTAAGATTTATGTACGGTAAAAATTTAACTAACTCGTTCTTAATATTTATACTTTTAACATAGTCTTGTGAAAAAAGAAACTTTTATTAAACATAAATATTTTTTTTTCAAATAATATCACTATGGTATTTGTAAAAAGAAAAGCCTAAAGTGCAGCAAAAATGATGCAGATTTAATATAATATAATAAAAGATTATCCTCTTATCTGGATGAAGAGATACCTAGGTTTCCTTGCCTGCGTCTGTTTTGCTTCAAATTATTATTTGGGTATCTTCAAGAAAAGGGTTTAGTATTTAGTTATTAGTAAGATAATAGTAGGTTCACCACCTACGACCTCATTTCCACGTTTCAAAGGGTGAAATGGGTAATGACAGTCAAGCACTATCCAGTTGAATTTAAATAAATATCTATATATTAACATTAACATCGATGAATGAAATATGTTCTCTTATAGGCACTACAAAAGTGATGGGAGCAGAACTTTGATTGAGTTCAATACATATTATCTAACAAATATACAGCGTGTTCCACAACTAAGTATGAGTAATATGAATAAGGCACTTTTGTAATTTCATTTTAAAACAAATTTAAAAGCTTTTGTATTAGTTTGAGTTCATTGTTTGTCAATCTTTACTAAACATATTTACCAAATAATATAACACACATTTCAAATTGATAAAATCCGAGTTCGGTCTAAGACATAAAGCGTTCTTAATCGTTATAACTTTTTCTCACTTAAGGTACTATTTGGTCTGTATAACAATTAATTCATTATGTTGTCCGAAAAACTATGTTATATTTCGAGATATCACGCCTCAGAGGTGTAGTAAGCCAATTACCTCCGACCCAATTGGGACATTCATATCAAAAGTTACGTGGCTTACGGAGCATGTAGGAATACCGTTAATGGACGTTGGAATAATCAGATAACTATGATCCATTGTACGTCTAAGAGTCAACGTGACTGGAGAACTAGTTTATAAACTAATTGTCATAAGTTGACAAGCATGAACCCTTTCGAATCTGATACATTCTCTAACAAAAGTGCTTAGAAAAAGCGAAACAAGTTCTATATCTGTATGCCAAGTGTCCGATGTATAAAGATAATAGCCAAAACCCAAGAACAAGTATCAGAACATACACAATCATGTCTCCACCGATCGTACAATGCTGCGACGTCTTCCGAAGACCAGCCATAGTAGGAAGAGTCCAGCAGCAAGATAATGCATCCACTCCGGCACAGACAGCTCCACAGCGGCGGTGGTACATCTGTGTGTGTGACAATCGTGTGTGTGCGTGTTCCGTGCTACATGTGGTAGTGTGCAATGACGTCATACATGCCCGCTTTTGATGTGCCTTTTACTTGTCACGTCAAATTAAATATCGTAAATATTATATTGAATTTTATTACATAACTAGCTGATCTGGTAGACTTCGTACTGCCTCAATAGACATAGGATAATTTTTTGGAGTTAACCTTTAAGCCATAAATCTCCGTGTTCTGAAGTACGACAGAATGATGGATACATTAGTTATTTGTCAAATCTAATGTCAAATATATTTATTTAAAAAACATATGTATGGGAAATGGAAAAGGTCTGTTTTTTGGGTTTTCCCGGAAATGATTAAATTTTTTCAGCTTTTAAACCTTCCCTGAACTTCCACGAACATTTCAAGACTAAGATAAGAGAAATCCGTTCATCCGTTCTCGAATTTTAGTGAGACTAACGAACAGCAATTCATCAGTATATATAGATATATTGTTTATGAAGGTTGCAAATAACATCAGCCTGTATACACCGGCAGTGAGCGGTGACGTAAAGCCTTACGTAATATCTTCCGGTGACTATCTAGCCTTATGAATCATTTCCTAGTTTTTGTGCATAAATCTTTATGTAACACAAACAACTGATGCTCTTCATCATTTTTTTATTAAGGACACGACAATAGAATAACAAATAAGGTCAACGACATACATAAATATAGATCGAAAATTATAATTAATTAAAAATTAAAATTTTACATTATAATAGGAAGTTAAAGAACTGTTTTGTTTAAAATTATTTTTACTTTATTTTATAATCGATCATTTATAATAAAAATGATTTTATGAAAGGTCCGAAACGATTGAAGGCTACATTAAAACACGATTTTATTTGCTTTTAGTTCGAAGCGAGAGAAGGTATGAGAAAACGCTGGCATTTTAACAAAAATCATAAATAATGTGCTTAATTGTTGTAATCAAATTTGACTGATAGCTGGCTTTTATATGATAATAAAATTTTATTCACATTTTACGTTGATTCTAACTATCTTATAGCTGCAGCAATATTATAATAGTTATAATAAGTAATAAATTTTATTGATAAGAAATCATTTTATAATATACCTATTCAATGTTGTTAGCGCTATTTACCTATCTGTAACCTTAATTCTTCATCTTTTAATACATCGGATACATTTTTCTATGCAACAAAAACACAACACGAGCTTTTTTTATTTCCCTATTGACTAGTTTTTATTCAAATACGAATACTGGTTATTAATAAATTTATGTAATTAAATATAATTATGTAAATAATTAAAATATAAAAATAAACATTTAACCTTTAACTTCGTATAAAAGTTAGTAACATTAATATTTAACGTTCGTATATAAAATCTTAAATTATTCGGAAGAGGATACAACGAAGGTTTTATAATTATTTGTATTTTTTTATTCATGACTTATAAAAAACTTAATGTTAGCATTCAAGACATTTTAACCTCGATCTTTGTTTAAACACTTATACAACCCAAAATGTTTGGTCAACTGTACTCATAATTACCTGGTTCTAAATACGTTCAAAAAATCCATTCGAAGATAAGACTAGTATAGATCGAAAGTTATAAACAGAAACGACATTTATTAATAATAATTAAAAACATTTAATAATTAAAGAGGTATAAATACATAATGTGTTCGGCAATGATTATGTAAAAAACAATATTTTGTGTTTGCAAATTAAAGTAAGCGAAAAAGAACAAAAAATATTCAAAAATATATATAAAAAATACGTTGCCTTCCTCCGTCGGTAATATTTTCATCAAGATAAACTCCGTTAGACTTATCTTATTTTTAATCGTACTTCCACGCGTACAGAGGTCGCGTTCACGACTTTTACTATACGTAATAAACCTATTTTTTCCTCTGGGACCAGTCACATAAAAACAACATACAACATTCATACAAAATCTCATGTCACTCACTGACCACGTATTTTTTGAATAATAAATGTACGCATTATTTTACATAAGAAACATTTTTTTAAATGAAATGAAATTTTTTCATGTTTAAGGACTTCATATGTAGTTATTAAATATTACAAATATTTTTTCTCCTCTTCTAATATTTAAAAAATCATCAAAGGAATATTTTTTGTATCAGTTCTTTCAAGTATATATGTATTTTCGTAAGTAACTTTTAGCAGCTACTTTCACTGGTTCTAACAACTATTCTAAATATTGTGATAATTCAATATAGTGCTCAACTGTTTAATACATCTATTATCACCTTACATAGAAATGAAATGCTGCAGGAGATACATTTACATTATAGAAAATCATACAAATTCATTTGTTACATACATGATAACAATGATTTCTTGTATTTAATATTATTTTAGTTGTGATAACTTAATACTAGCATACCGTTTACGAATCAGTGATTGCTTGAAAGATGTTTTTGTAGTACGGATTGAGTTTTATGGACACAATCTATTCAGTAAATACTTAAAGAAGAAATGTAAGTACAATAGATCAAAATGGAAATGTATCGAAATGCATCTTGGTGATACGTTCGTATTTATGAAATAGAAGTGAATTTCATTATATATGAAAAATAATCTATTGGTAAAAAATGTACGAGAACTATTGAATTACTAAAGATATTTCATTAACAATGAAATAAAACGAAAGTTTCGCAATACTGTCATATATATACAATAAAAAACATGAAACCTTTGTTAGCATTGCATATGGTAAAATCATTTAGAGCATAACTTTCTGCATTGTCTAACAAATACAATGTCTTGAACTATATAAGGTAAAAAACTTTTATATTTGCGTAAACATGGACATATAGTATGTTTAAAGTTAGAAGAAAATTTGAGTAACAAATATAAAAAAAGAAAAAATTAACTTCCCAAAGCAAAATATGTGTTTATGACAAATCAAGACATAATATATTGGAGTAATATATCTTATGAACATTTTTTTATATTTCTTATATTACCTTAACTAAGCAATATATTATAATTAGAGATTGATGTAAATTTTTATTCAAAATTTTATTACATAGAGATTTGTAATTTCTATAATTGCGTTCTCGATATACCAAGTGTAACCGGATGAAAATTTAGAACTGGGTATTAATAATACCGGTTTTTACCGAATTAATTGCAATTAATATAATAAATACCGATATGTACTTAAAAAACTTTTTAATTATTGGACCTACTGTCAAATACAGGTTTGATAAGTCATGTGTGTAAAATTAAATAAAGATAGTAAATACGAAGAAATAGTTTTCTTAGTATAACCTAGAAGCTTGTGAATAAATTCTCCAAGGTCATACATTCATACACAATTCAGAGTATTTAAATGGAAATTTATAACAAAAATAAATAAAAGGCAAAAAATCCAATTACATTATTCAATTTAAAAATGCGGATTATACTGTCAAATATACAATACATATCATCATCCAGACAATAAACGCATGTTCAAGACAAATACCAAAAAGCGTATGTGGAATAGCTGAGGAACCATATGTAATCCAACATGCGACAGATAAGCGAAAATATCTGTAGCACATTATTTAAAATGTCACTTTAGGAACATAAAAAAACTGCATACGAAATGAGAGGCGTATTTTTGTTATCAGTCATCTTAATATTTCGGGTCCATACCTTTTACTTTGTCGTTTTAGTGATCTAGCGGACAAAAAGAGCCCGAACAACGCTGGCCACTTTAGAGATGGCCAGATAAACAAATATATTTTGAGACGTGTTCATATGTGGGGTATATTTACATTAACTCTACCGTTCAAGTTTTAAACGCAATACATTCAACCGTTTTAACAAAAAGCATTATTACAACATACTTTCTCCATTCATATTACAATTATTCTTAAAAAATATATTATTATGGAAACAACATAATAAAAAAATTTAGAATTTAATTGATGATTAAGAAACAATATTAATGATAATGCATCTATATATACATATGTAACAATTGTTATTAAAGTGAAGTAAAAGTAAAAACAGGTACTTCGTAATTTAGTTTTTCAATTATTTAATAAATATCACTAAAGCAAGTACCGACGGATACTAAAATTAAGAACAAACGTTAAAAAAAATGTGAAGAAGCTTTTAGTTTAAGTGGTCCGTCTAGTTTCATTACCACATTTTTTCAAAAAAATTTTACTGATTTATAAAATTTATATTCAATGTATATTAAAGCCTACTTTTATGTCAAGACGTCCTTGGTGGTTGATAATAATATACGCTAATATAAATGACATTTATATTTAGCACATTATTTCCTTAAAGTCGTTTATACAACCGGTCTTTTTATCGTCTTAATTCAGAATACATTAAAGTTAATTAAATTTTACTTAATATTACTTGTAAAGAATTACTGTATTTACATTTTTGCTCTAGAAGTAGGTAGCTAGTAAACATGATTTTTAGAATATTTCTTTCTTTAGTTGACATGACGAAAGAGTAAGCAAAAATCTTATATATATTTTCTTCGGTAATGTCATTTGAGCTGATCACTCATTAATGGAACGACATATTCGGACAATTTAAATGTCATGACACACATGTCCATGAGAGATTTGAATTTGCTTTTTAGATAGCTAATACACAAACGTCAATTTGATACAAACGAGGACGACGGTTAGTGTTCATCAAAATAAGATATCGAAATTCTCAACAACCAAACGATAACTAGTTTTATAGACATTAATCCGACGTATAAATTTCTAGTGAAATTTCATGTGCAAAAAAAATATTCAATACATATTAAAAACTTGTTGCAGGACGACGAATTTTTTTGTGCTGGCGACTTTTTATTCTATAAACCCAGTTAGATAGGTGAGCATGACTAATGACAGATATCCACATGATGTATCGGTAGAATTTTTAACAGCATACATGTGACCAACAAGGTAATTGGTAAGTGATATTTAATGTGGAATTAAAATAAATATTTAGATTATCGCATACTTTTTTATATGACGTTGGCGAGAGTGTCAGTTAAGACCATATAAAGTAAAGTAACCGGTAGTATATCTATCTACAA